TCCAGCGGTGCAGCGGCTCTCCGATCCAGCACTGACTCCTCTCTGCTTGCAGGCACTTTCTAACCAGCAGTGTCTGCATGCGGATGCACGCGTCCATAGACTTACCTTGCGTCTCTGCTCGTCTCCCGGCCGAAAATCCGAACTGCGCACGGGCCCGCGGCGAAAACAGGGCACAATTAAATTGCTGTTAAAGCGTTTTTTTATTTAACTTTTTGCCTATATCTACTGCTTGCTAGCAGTAGATATAGGCAACAAAAACGGAGGGTTTAGAACCCCTTTAATACTGTCAAAATCAGTAAAGGATTAATAATACTTTAATAATTATACACCTGCATTAATTTGTGTCTTTTTTTTCTGCCTAGAGTTCAGCTTCAACTTTGATTTGTCTGGATAAGCAGAGGTAAGCAAATACTGTATCTGATTTATTCCCCATCTGGGACTGACAAAACAGAGATCCATGGAGAATTCAGATTTATGGAAACGGTTTTTCTTTTTTCTACCCACAATCATTCTGTCAAGCACAATTTCTAACTATATGACAGCTACTGCATTTACCATTCACCACCGCAGCACATCACAGATGTCAACCTGGAAGAATAGTTTACAGGGCGATACAACAGTGTGTGTGAAGCATGCCAACACATATGTGCATCCGAGCATGCCACCACATATGTGCGTCTAAGGGGCATGGATAGATAAATGCATAGATGGGTTAATCATAACTTGCATGTAAAATGGGGACAGCATTGCAACCAGAAGAAATAACAGGATAAGTGCTATGCAGTATTCGTATATACATAATAATAAATGCTGAGAATTATGCCAAGTATAAGAACAAGAGACTTGCTACTGTTTAGCAGCCATATGCAGAACATGAACGGATAGTGAAAACTATATCCAGCATACAGATTAAGTACTGTGTAGTACCCATACATACAAAATGAGGGTAGATAATGAGAATTCTACCCAAAATATAGAATAAGAAAGGTGTACTAGGCAGCATCCATACATACTGAATAATAACAGATACTATTAACTACACCCACAATACAGAACAAGAGAAGCACTACAGCGCAGAATCCATTTATATAGACTAAGAAAATATACTGGGAATTAAGCCCGTGACACACTGCATGCGAAACAAAGCAAAGCTGTGGGGCGCAGATATTCGCATGCAGTGCGTGAGCTGAGTGCGGCCAGATTAAAGACTGCATCTTCAGCCAATCGGCTCGCGTGTAACAACTGAATGGACTTTGCATCTGGACAGGTGGGTTTATACGCACAAAACCATTGGCTGAAGATGACATTTTTCATCTTGCCACGCTCAGTTATGCTAGCTCTCGCAAGCTGACGTGCCAGAGTGAAAATTAAGAGAAACACTGCACGCAAAGGTCCGAGCGCCACCACTCCACACTGCTTCAGGCGCAGTGTGTCACGGGCTTTATACCCAGCATACAGAACTAGAGACGTGGTATTGTGCACCATTAATCCATACAAAATAAGAACGGATACTGAAAGTTACGACCAAAATACAGTACAGAACAAGACATGTGGTATTGTGCAGCATCCATACAGAATAAGAACATATACTGAGAATTATATTTAGCATATAGAATATGAGACATTACATTTTGCACCATGCAAACAACAGAATGAGAACAGATACAAAACATTACACCAATCATACAGGAAAGGAATACAGACAAAGGTCCATGCTGGATGACCACAGCAATAAGCTATTTTGTGTGTCTGAAAAAACCCCCACTGCTGGAGAGCTGACACTTTTTCAGTGTGACATAGCTACTACCTTGGAAACCCACTGCATTTTAACTGCAGACAAAAAAATACATCAGTTTGCTCCCCATGAATGAATGGGGCAATGGTAGAGTGAAGGTGAGTATTTCCCCTGAGGAGTGGGGTAGCAACATGGGCAAGCACAGATTTACCTTAGGGTGATATTACAGTCAGAATGTTTTTAGGCTATTTAAAATGCCTATTAAATCAATTACAATGAATGCTGCTCCTTGATGATTAAAAGTTGTAGGGGGTTTTTCACAAAGCTAGCCGAAAGATCAGCTATAGCTTCAGCTGATCCTTCGGCTAACTTCGGTTGCGGGAGCCCTTTGGTTCAGTCGAACAGAAGGGCTGCTGTGCAAGCTATTTACTATACCCCGTACAGCTCCCTAAGGGGGCCGAGCGGCTCAGCCAAGCCGAAGGCATATGCTTTGGCTCGACTGGGTCAAAGTGACAGGCGAAGCGGGGCGAGTGGTCGGCCAATGGCCTCGCAAATGACAGCTGGCTCCGCCCAGTTTTAATGGCAAATCAGCATCCCCAAATGACCTGGGGACGCTGAACTGTCATTAAACAATGACAACACGACCAGCTCCGCCCAGTTCTTATTCATTGGCCGGGACCTGCTAGAAGACTCTAGCAGGTCCTGGCCAATAGGAAACAGCTGGGCGGAGCAAGCTGTCACTACTAGCTCAGCCCAATTTCAGCCGATGTACGGCTGAAACCAGTCGTACTGAGCTGTAGTAATTAGCCGAACGATGTTCGGCTCACTTCACTGCGGCTCGGTTATTCACTCGCACCAGCAGCTTAGTGAATAACCCTGTTAGTATCCTACAGAATCGGCTGGTCCTCTGAGCACTGGCCCTGATATCCTGTTTTTTTACTTTTCAAAATATTTTATTGGTTTTTCTCAGAGGCCTCCCTGGTGAAGTCCAAATTGGATGTAGTAATTTTGGGGGAAACTAAGTAGTAAAGGGTCATGAGCTGTCGATCGAAGGACGGAGGGAGGTAATGAGTAACCCATGGGTCCCAAATGTTTTCAAACTTGGATCCCATTGAAAAGGGAATTCTCTTTCAAGTGGTGGTGTTAGGTGTGTCGGCAAGGATACCTGATATCCTGTTTAAGGGTGGTTCCTTTGCTTTAGCAGGGTCCTATGGAGCCAACCTTGTGTGTGCTGGTAAGCTCTGTGTGTGTGTCTCCACAAACATACCATAAATACGTTTCTTTGCCTTGCTGCACACCTTACCGAAAGTCCCTTGTAAAGGGGTTGGTGCTCGCAGTGGCTGCGGATGGCAAATATCAGCAGAATGTAGAAATGTCACCAGCACACCAGAATCCTTTTAGGATAGCAGAATGTTCATTTATTTGAAGTTCCTTGTCATACAATATGTTCATTTATTTGAAGTTCCTTGTCATACAATGTGTTCATTTATTTGAAGTTCCTTGTCATACAATATGTTCATTTATTTGAAGTTCCTTATCATACAATATGTTCATTTATTTATTTATTTGAAGTTCCTTGTCATACAATATGACAAGGAACTTCAAATAAATGAACATTCTGCTATCCTAAAAGGTTCACTATGCTATCCTTTGTGCTCTTGTACTCAATAAGAAGTTCAGGGAAGTGGAGCTGAGAGAGTTGGAGTTGTTCAGAAACATGATGACTGTAAGTACTTGGGCAAAAATTTAAAGAAATACTTTATCAGGGAATGTATATTTGTTTGATCTGGATTAATTATTGAAAAAAATTTGATAATTTGATAATACTTAAAAAGGAACCTGCTACCTTTACACAAGGCAGGAAGTACAGTAAGTACAGTTATCTATTTGGCTAGGCCAATACAACAGAGAATATCTGTGAATTTACTTGAATTTTCTTCATTGTGATATCAGACATTGTTGATTGCCAAGTGACAGGAAACAATACCGGCGCCTCCACCTGCAATATCGGCCAGTTGAAATGGTAACGAACACACTGAAGAGGCAGCTCCCACAGGTCAAAGGACCTTCAATCTGAGAGACAAAAAAACAAAAAGGAGCACCTCCATAGTGTAAAACGAATTTTAATGATAAAAATGCACAACTGTATTGTACTTACAAGAAATCGGTAGTAAAAAGGCATGTAGAAAACAATGGGATGTCAAATCATCTAGCAGCGGAAGTCTGAAAAGATGTGCAGCATCAGCGTCCACTGCCCCTGTGTGGTCTCGGTTTACATGTTTCTGGGGCACGCCCCCTTCCTCAGAACCTCTCTCTCATTGTTGATTGCCAGTTAAATCTGCATACAGTCTGCAAATGATCAACAGGTACACTTTAAATGTATCTGAAATGTTGCATTCTGTGGCTCAGTAGAGCAGGGTAAGCACACATCACAGAAACGGATCCATCTTAGTAAATAAGACATATTTTATACTCTTCCAGCCTGGGAATTGAACAGCTTTTTGAGTATGGTTTTCAGAAAAAATATGTAATTAGGTTGGGAGATTAGGGATGTTAACATGTGTCTGGGGACTGTTAGTGCTGTTCCAAACAAACAGTGACATGCTATTCTTGAAGAAGGCAGTGCACAATCCTGTTTAAGCATTAGATTTAGAAAGCCTCATGCATGTTGCGTATTCATCTGGAAACAAAGCCTGGTGTAAACAATAGATGTACAATAAATTTGATTCATAAAAACACCCAATGGAAAAGAATTTCCTAATAGATAAAACAACAATGTAGCATAGTAACCTAGAAAATTTTTGTGTGCAATACCAAATGCCTCCATCAAATGCACCGTTTATCAACATTCACAGATACTTTATCAGAACTCACGGAAAGACAACTCAAACTGAAAATATCATCATGGCCAAATATTGGGTCTTGCATAAATACTCCAAATCAGTTTATAATGGAGTTTGTGCTGCCACATTTTTATGGCAGCAAGTTCGCCATAATGTGCTAATATGAAGTGCATACTAACACATTGCCAAAAGCCCCAGGGAGCCTTTTTTTTAACTTCCACTTTAAATCCCATATTCATCACATCTATTTATTAATACATCCCACCTTTCTAGATTCAATATATATATATAGATATATATACAGTCTATATAGATATATCTATATCTATGTACATCATCACACTGTGCAGGACCAAATGTCAGAGTCCTTCTAGAGGGGGAGGTGCAGTCAGCACTATGGGACGAGCGTCGTCCTATGACGACTGTATTACACAAGCACGTGTGTGCAGAGCGGAGTAGCATTTCCTAAGTTTGTCCCGGCCGGGCACCTTACGTCTGTCATGTCAACCTCCAGCAGCGGCATGACTTCCTCTGAAACGCTGCGGTTCCCGGAGTACATGGAGGGGAGCCGGTGGACACCGCGGGCAGAGATTGACCGCCAACTGGTGAGTACTTTGCGGTGCTTCGTGTGTGTGTGTGTGTTTTCAGTGTCAGTGATATGCAATCCATTTCTTGCTCTGTCATTAGGTGACGCACATACAGTGTATACAGTGTACAGGGATTACCCTCCTCGGTGGGCACTATGTCAGGCTGTTCAATGATCACTTGAAAAAATCCGGATATATATAAATAATATGTTCTTTCCTGTGATGCTATGCAACTGTTGAGTCACCGATTGCACTGCTGTTGCATAAGCCGTGTCAGTAAATGGAGAAATATACTATGCTGATTCAATGTCACACTGACTGCCTATGGATGGATTTGTGAATTGCATCCTGGGTACTATGTTAAAGAAGAACTCCGGCCATACTAACCACTTGCTGACCGGGGTGTTAAACCCCCTTCCTGGCCAGGCCATTTTTCAGTATTCAGCGCTGCAGTACTTGGACTGACATTTATTCCGTCATGCAGCGCTGTACTGAAAACCATTAAATTTAATATTCATTAAATTTATAAAAAAAATGTAAGGACAAATAGAGCTTTCTTTTGGCGGTATTTGATCACCACTGGGGTTTTTATTTTTTACTATATAATGAAAAAAGTAGCAAAAATTTTGAAAAAAAAAAAATCTGTTTTCACTACATTATGTTATGAAACATTTATTATTACCCAATTTTGGGTAAACATGTAAAAGACGTGGTCACGTCGGGTAAATAGACACTCTTGCTTTTAAATTGCTTTAAAAGCTTGTTGAATGTTATCAGTTATTGATGGTCCTAGAATTATTGCTCACTCTCTTGACGTTCACAGTGATATGTAACGTGAGGCGCTATCATCATTTTCGCATGTAGGTGCACCTGACGCATGTTTGTTTTGGCATGTGTGTGTATGTGGGAGCAGGGGGCTTTAAACTTTCTTTTTGTGTTTTTTTTTTTTTTTTTTTTTAATGTAACTTTTTTTTTTTTCTTAATAATTTTTTTAAACTTTTTTTTTTACACTTAACTTTATTGCTATCACATAAGGGGGGCTAAGAATTCCCCTTTGTGATAGGAAATGTACAATGACAGGTCCTCTTTATGGAGACATCAGGGGTCTTTTATTTTTGTAACTTTACTTTCTGAATCTGTCACTACTTTGCTTTCAGAAAAGTGATCCATGTATATTCAGTCTCTTGTGGTGGAAACAAAGAAGTTTCTTAAACTATGACTCTGGACCTAAATTGGGCCACTGACGTCTTCTTGATGGGTCATCACATGACTCTCTATTGTAAACCTGGCCTAGTTTGTCCAAGTGCAAAAGCATGTTTACAATCGCTTACTATCCAGATCTGAAAGAAAATATAATGAAGATTTTATTTTGCTCAACTTCATTCAAGTTTATAGAAATGGAAGAAAGTATCCAAAGTGTGCTATATGGTCATTGTTGTTTGTCTTTGTATGGCTTTGCTGACATTATGGTGATAATTCTCTTCTTGGGTCCCAGTAAGGTAACAGTTTTCTTATTTGAGTCCTGAATTGAAGATTGAGATTGAAACATTTAACCATTTTTTTAAACGGCACCGGGAGTCCATGGGTCCTGCAGGGGTTCAGGCTTGAACTGCTGGCTGTGACAGACGTCAGTAAGTCCAGAAACAAAAGTGTTTTGGATCAGGAGTGTAGAGACGTCACTGCAGTTCCTTTCAGTACAGAGACTGAGGCAGAGCTGTTCTACAGCAGTAGATCACTGTTATAGTCATCTATTGCTGGCAGTTTGCAGCCAGCAATAGATCACTGTTAGAAGTGGCCCAGAACCCTCATGAAGGACAAAAGTGCGGGGAAAAAATTTATTGGAAAATAATGTTGAATTACAATTGTGTTCGCTGTGAAAGCATCAAAAATTAGATTTTTTTTTTGCAATCGCAAACCTGTAAAAAAGTCTATTGTGCTAATTTCAGGCCGTGTGTGTGTGTGTGTGTGTGTGTGTGTGTGTTTTTTCCTTCTGCATGCATTTCAATGTAGAATTAAAAGGGGACTAAAGCTCTCCTAAGGTAACATGCATAAATTCACTTTGTTGATAGCACTACAGTTAAGTTTAAAAAAAAAATTGTTTAAAAAAAAAAAGTAATAAATAATAGTTAAGAATTTAACTAAATAAAAAGGCGATAAAGTAAAAATAATAAAACAAATGAAAACATTTTACAAAGTAAATAAAAATTTAGAAAACAGCCCCGCTGCCCCATCTGCATGCGAATAAACGCGCAGTGTTTTCAACTGCGATCGTGTGCAACCGCTTGGGCAGGGCGGTATTGCAGCAGGAAAATACTGCAATCTGCCTGGCACGACTGGGGTGCCATTAGAAAAATAATGACACTGCCAGCGCAATCAGCGGTGGTGTGCGATCCGTGACTGCCCGGTCATCGTGCACGAAAACCGAGCGGATGGCTGGGTGGTCACGGAATCGCACACCACCACCACCGCCGATCGTACTGTCAGTGCCATTATTTTCTAATGGCACCCCAGTCGTGCCAGGCAGATTGCGCGTTTTCCTGCTGCAATACCGCCCAGGCGATCCCACACGATCACGGTTGAAAACACTGTGCGGTGCATGTCGTGAAAATAGGTACATGTACCTTTTTTTTTTTTTTTCACCGATTGCCACCCAGATGTAACCCCATACATGCGGATGCAACCGCACACCATCGCATGTCCCGGGAATCCACAGGTCTGCACCAACCCTAAAGGGTATATTCACTTTCCCAAGTAATTTTGCTCGCAAATTGCAAGCACTCGTTGGTCCACGCGGTCACCTGATGGCACTGACCAATGAGAAGCGCTTCTTAGCACTGCTAAATATGGTTTTGGTTAAAATTATTTTTTTTGTATCGGGACAAGTAGATTCTCATGAGGGACAAGTAGATTCGGCCCCCGCTTTAGTCCTTGGACAAGTAGTTTTTTCAAAAATGTCCACACCCCTGGAAGTGCACAGGGCATACATAGTACATCCCGTTCATCTTCTCCTGCTAATTTTACTGCTAAATCCCGGCTGTTAAAATGACAGCCAGGACTTGTTTATAAACACTGTTCAGAAGCATGATTCAGAGATATAAAGTATTAATATTGTTACTTTGTATTTACTGTTTCTGTAGATCAAAAAGGTAACCTTTGATTTGTATATGATGTCAGTTAATGCGACCATGCGGGAAAAAAATAATAATTTGTTCCTTTTTTTTTTTTATCCCCTCAGTGTGTAGGGATAAATGATGATCTTTTGACATCTAAAATGACAGGTTAAAGATATTCCACTATACGATCATACTCTATATGTATATTATATTAAAGAAAAACATACATACTATTAAATACAGTTATAGACGTTCTATACATATATGTTAAATACACATAGTAAATACAGTTATAGACATCCCATGCGTATATTATGTTAAACACATATACTAAATACAGTTATAGACTTTAAAACATCTAACTTACAAAACATGTTTTAACAAAGTAATATTGTAAGGCATTTTTCCTATGGTTAGGTGTTATCTGTAGGGTGTTAGATGTTATCTTGAAGTCATTGGAGAAATTGCCATTCTAGGAGTTTTTAGTTTATCTAAACTAAAACACTTACTATGTATACCCTGTTTCCCCGAAAATAAGACCTACCCCGAAAATAAGACCTAGTACTATTTTTGGGAATTGCTAAAATATAAGACCTAGGTGTGGCCATTCCCAGGGCCGGTGGTGGCCGCGGGAGAAGCAGGAGAGAATCAGCGGTGCCAACGAAGCCAGCGCTAGAGGAAGCGAGGCGGCAGCGGAGGGAGCAGAGACGCATAAGCTGATGCCTCCGCTATAGCGCCGGCTCCTGTCACAGGTGGAGTGATACCAAATGCACTCCGCCTGTGAGGAATTGATAGTAAAAGTGCACTTCGCTCATTCTGGCCAGCGATTGGTTAGCAAATTGCTCTTGGAAAGGTACGGCACCCCTGATTGAACTGATCCCCATATTTTTGTACATGAATACATGTAGACGTTTCTACATGAATAAGGGTGGATTGTTGTACATTAAAAAAAAAAAAAATAAGACCTAGTGTGTTTTTTGAGGCCAAAAAAATTTAAGACAGTGTCTTATTTTCGGGGAAACACGGTACGTGTGGAACAAATAATGCTGATTTAGGATGCATTTTGAATTTTGTTAAACTGAACAATGATGTATGAACCTATAAACCTGACAAACTAAGGCCTTTCCCCACACGCGTGTGTCCAATAAATCTTTTATCTGATTTGGATCTACTCACAGACTGTTGCTGCTTTGCTCTTAAAATTCCCTAATCATAAGCGACCAGTGACGTACATAGTACGTCATTGGTAGCGGGCCCATTTAAACAGACTTGGGCCGGCATCTTGGGTGTCAGCGGGAAGCTGGGGAGGAGAGCGGCGAACGTCCATTCAACAATTGACTGAGAGCGACGCGGATTGCACTTCCTGAAGCCAAGCAATAAGCTATTGAAGTGCCATTTAAAGTGGAAAGATGACACTAGGGGTCTTTTGGAGTACATATTAACGGCATACTTGGAGGTAAAAAGAAGCACCCACTCTATGATCATTATAAACAGATACAGAGCTGAGACCTCTAGGCTACAGATAGAGTACAAAATGACAACAAAAGTGGTGGCTTCATTATAAACAAGTGGGTGGACTTTTAAAGGTGGCCATACACCTGCCCATTATCGTACGATAATCGCGGGAAATCCAGCGTTCGTACGATAATCGGAAGGTGTGCGACCGTTTCTACTGCACGGTCGCAATTCTTTTGTCTTACGAGCACGTTTGAAAGCCAGCCGAAAATCGTAGGATTTTTGGCGGGCTTTTAAAGTGCTTGTAAGACAAATGCCACACGGGCTGGTGTGTGCAAGCGCACACTTACCCACTCAGCATTGCAGTCATCGGAAGCCCTCCCCTCAGCGGGGCGGGCTTGCGATGATCGCAAGTACGATCTGTCTGTCCAAGATGGGCAGATCGTACGT